ACTGCTCTCTGTTCATCTCCTTATCTCAATGGTATCATTTTTCTTAAGCAGAATTTGGAAATAGTCCTCAATTTAAAGGTTTAAGCACTAATTTCTAAAACCCTCAGTTGATTCCCATAACACAGCGGCAGTCAAACTGGACAAGATAATAAATTGACTGAGATCATTGTCCGGCTTCATCCAAGAAAGCAGCCTCTAAAAAAAAAAAAAGGATCTTAAATTGCCTTAGAAATCCAATTTGCAGGCAGCAAAAGCAGCATATAGATGGGAAACACCAGCCTTGATCACATTAATTTTGTGACTAACAGCATTGCTTTGAAAGGGAAAAGAAAAGAAGACTGAAATACTGCGACCACTCAAATCCTAAGTTCAGTCTAACAGTGCAACCAGGAGAAAAGCGAACTGCACGGATGAAGCTCACATCTGGAGGGTGCAGGGACCATCAGACTCCAACAAAATCATTTTTAACTCAAGACAAACACTCCAGTGATTTATGCTTTGTAAAAAGTAAATCACCGTAGGAAGTGGGGATACTGGGGCTGTGACATCAGTTCAGCTCTCAGTGCAAAAACCTCTCAAGAGTTGGGGCACACAGGTGTGAGAAGCAGGCAAGAGTTACAATAAAAATATTCTACAACTGAAAAGCTGTACAGGAGACATCTCTAACAGCCTACCATCTACTTCACTGCCTATTCAAGAGCTGAAACATCAAAGCAAGACAGAAATAAAAGCACAGATTCCATCCCCACCCCCCACCCCCGGATCAATCTAATAATCTGACTGATCAGTATACAAAGGCAGTAAGTTCACAAATGACTTCTGACTGACAGGTAATTCAGCTGTTTCCTTTTTTTAAAAAAAAAGTCTGACTTGGAGAGATTATCAGTTAAATAAATGTATTTCCTGAGCCAAGTTGGCAATAAAAGTTGATACAAACATAAGGAATTATTGATATAAAAATGATGCCCGCGACCCAAACTGAGAAAGTGTGTGAGAAGGCAGTGCGTTAGCCTAGAGCTATAGAACTAAAGTAGAGCTAATAAACTAATAGTAGTTAATGAACAGCGCCCTTCTATGGGGGAGACTGCATCTAAGTTTGAATGTGGGAGCAAATATTTTGCTTTGTCTTTCATCTTTAGGTTTCTTTAAAAAGAATGCTGTCTTGCTAAAACTCAAGCACTTATTAAAGTGACTAATGAAAGCTTTCTGGAGAGGATTTTTTTTTTTTTTTACCTGACACCTTGCTTGCTGTTCTTCATAGCTGCCCGACAGCAGTTCACAGGCTCATGAGCATGTTTTATTCCAGAAATAAAGGTCACACACACACACACACACACACACACACACAGAGAGAGAGCTATACAAAATCCTACCAATCCCAGCAAACTAACAAAAAACACATACAAATGCAAAATAAAAATCCACTACCAACTCCTATCTGGGAAAATATAAGTCTGATCTCGACTGATGGGAAATGCCTTCTCTGCTCCGCAAACATGAGCATGCTCTTACCATGGCTGGTAGAGTAAAACCGCGACGTGTTGCCTTCTGCAGTCACCAGATCAAAAATTTCCCTTCTTTCTTGAACCTTCTTTTAGCCAGCAAGATCAGAAAGGAAACACATCTTTGAGTGCTTGCCTCAGTCCTTCAGACCAGAAGATTGCGGGCTAGCTCTCCGCTTAAAAGAGAGCAGACCTGATACTCCAATCACTCTGCAGCTCAGAGGCCGCTCATGCACGCTGGTGCCTTCTTTCCTCCTCCTCCTTTACATTTCTTTTAGTAATGAGACTAATTTTTCCAGTAGCCTTCAACTCCCCAGATTTAACTGACATGGAAAATGTGACTGAGGGAACTTGTAGCCCTGTCTAGCCTCCAGTCCTCCACAGAGTGAACTTGGTTGTGTTGAAGAACACCTCACAAGCAGCTACACGCTCAGTTTCTGCTCCCCGTGCTCCGCAGCACAGAACACCAAACAACAGTGCGCCATCTAGTTAGCAAAGTGCAGTCTCCATCCATATAGGGGGACACCTTCCAACCCTGGGAGCCAAGCTTGTCAGGGTTCAGCAACTCTAAAGGTCCAATTGTTAATTTCAATAAAAAAAAATATCGCTACTGGGATAATCCACATCTAGTGGATATGGGAAAATTTAGATTATAATGGCACCACAAACTTTTACATCTAACTTTGATTTACAAGATAAAAGCAAGTTTTAAATTAAAAGGGCTTTCTGTTAAGAGAGCTTATTATTCTGAAGACGGGAATGATTTTCTTGGAAAGTTGTCCCTGGGTGCACGCCTATTATCTTTGCTTTGCCCCTTCCACTAATGAGCGTTTATCTAAAGAGCCTGTTAATCCTCTGATGTGTGCTTCTGGTCAGAGGTAACAGTTTGAATAAAACCACTAATCACCGATCACTAAATCACTGATCATTAATCACACTCTCCAGGGCCCATGACCCCGGCCATTTTCCCCTTAGGTCTCTGCCTCACAAACAAGAAGTTTAACATTTTCAATGTGCCTGCATTGCATGGGGAGTTATACTATTTCATCTCTAGACGTGAATAAATAATAAATACCGCCACGAACTTGAGGAAGGGGGTGTCAATCAGCCTCCAGTCAGGAGTTCACAAAGCCTGCTCCACAGCTAGAGCGCGCTGGAGAAAGTAGATCTAATTATAACAAAACACGTGTTCTTCAAGTAATGCCACCTATTCAGAATATAAAATTTCCTTTATTTAGTTTCTTCCATCTCCAAATCAAAGAGTACTCGAGTCCCCTGTCCCCTTCCAGCCGAAAGCTTGTGCCTGAGTTTGCTTATGCTTGATTCCCCGCTATCCTTCACTCACCCCAAAAGTTTTCACTCTCTGTCCCCTGAACAAGCTGCACACAGTGGTGCCGTCGTGGCCGGTGTAGATTTAAAGGGCAAGTGGGGAAGATTCTAACCCAGTTCTGCAAATTGGGTATTTAACTTCCTCTGTAAACATAGAAACTCAAGGCTGAGAACAAGAAAGTACCACGCGCAGCAGTGTATTGTACGGTGCCTTCAGCTCCCAGACACGTCTCCTCGCTTTGGAAATTAAACGTCTAATCTAGATCTTTTGCGCTAAATCTCATTTCGTCAGCTCCTTCATCTTTCCCCTAGGGCTGTGCCGTTCACCGGACTCTGGGCTCTCAGCTGTGGGTGTGTTGCTGTCCTAAGTCACCACAGGGACACAGTTTTAGCATATAAGGTATCTAAACCTTTCCACGGGTTTTTCTGTCTAGGCTGAGCATTCTCGCCCTGGAAAAGGGTCCTGGCTAGTGCCTATCTTAAATAATAAAAAGAAAAGGGCAGCTTGAGCACTCATCAGGTACTGCATTCAGACACCAGAAGCTCTTCAGCTCACTCCGGGGACAGCATTCCCCCTGAGGGAAACTGTAAAAGGCGGGGGCAGGCCTAGTGATAACGAGGTGGGCGGGGGAGAGATGGAGAAGGAGGGGTCAGGGAAGAGCAGGCAATAACCGCGTCCAGGGAACCCTCAGTTGCTCGGGGCTGGGGGTGCGGGGCGAAAGCAGAGTTGCTTTGTCAGCATTCTGAGCCCCTGGACCCTTGAGTATCTGAAGCCCTTAATCAAACACTTACTGGCCAGTAGAATGACGTAATGGACCTGTAGCTAGCCTTTATTCTTTGACACATGTCAGGGAGAGGGAAAAATAAAAAACCAAACAAGCTTTGCAGACTCTGACAAGGAAATGTACAAGCAGCTCACTCCAGTTCCCGGCCTTGAACCAGCATCAAGTGGGGGCGGCACTCGTTCAGGGAAAGTTGGAGCTTTTTTCTACTAGACACCTCCTGAAAATAAATCTATGACCCCCCTCCCCACAAAAGCGGAATATAGGGGATATAGTCGTCCCCCCTCCCGAAGTGGCGGAGTGGGAGGGAGGGGACTCTCTTTGCTCTTTCTTGTCTCGACCCTCTAAGAACTTTGTGAAAAGTTTAAGCGGTTCGGTGGAGAATTTGGCTCAAAGGCAGGCTCCATCGCAGGGTGCTGAGAACCGCCTGCGTGTAGCGCGGCTCGGGCCCCAGCTGTCATTTGGGGTGGCAGCCCAGAAGAGGTAACAGTGCCAGCTCGAAGGGGACGGAGGCGGGAGGCGGCTGCAGGCGTGAAGGCAAGGGGCCTGGAGCGCTCTCGAGCTGGAGCGCCTGGAGCGAAAGTCAAGTGCCCTTCAAGGGCAACCGCCCCTTCCCGGGCGCGCGCCCACCAGCTGCAGCCGGCAGTTGATCTCCAGAGGTGGCGGCGGCCGCTAGGCACCCCGGGGAGAGCGAGCCCCCTGCGCACTCGCCTGGCCGCCCCTAGGTGACCCGGCGCCTTTGCCGCACCGGTTGGAAGTTGGCAAACTTTCTCCGGGGTTCTGCTGCATCACAGAGAAACTGGGGACGCGGGGGAAGCTCCTGGTTCGTAGTCTCTGTAGCTGCTGCTGCCGCTGCCGCCGCCGCCGCCGCCGCTTGACCACACTTCTGGAGGATTCCGCACCTTGCCAGGGCTCTGGAGGCAAACATACACCCCCGATTCATAACTGTTCCCCGTGTCAGGGAAACTCACGCGCGCTCCCATACACGCACGCACACGGGGTCGGACACGGCGCTGGCTCCACTCAGCATCCCTCCAGTCGCACGGCGCAGCAATCACCGAGACGCGCTCCGGGACAGACACGGCATGGGGTCTCTGGGTGGCTACAGGACACAGCACAACTCCGCAGTCCACCAGCAATTGGGGCCGGACTTCCCTCTGATCCGCCAAAGTGTTTACAAACACAAATCAAGTGGGGGGAATGCATCGCATCCTCCCTACTCCTTGCCCTGTGACCTGCCCATTGGACCAAGTAACCTCGCGGCTGCAGTGGAGAACCAACCCCTGCAAACAAGGACGCTCCCAAGTCGGCTCGCGCGGCAAGTGCAGCAAAAGTGGCTAAATGCAAAAGCCCCAGAAGTGGCCGCGCCGTATTTTTAGGAACTTACCAAACAAGTGTGGAGAAGGCAAGAGCCGAGCCCGGGTGAAGGGACCACGTTGGACTGAGCAAAGATTACAATACATTCTATTTAGAGTGCATTACATCACCCCCCCGGTGACGTCACGTGGGATTCCTGAACTTCTAAATCATTGCGGTCCGCTGGGGAAGGAGGGAAAGATGGGCGGGGCTCGCACGCCGAGGGGGCGGCTCCCGCCCCGCCCAAACTCCGCCCCTCGAGCGGACCTGGGTGCACGCGGCGGAGGCGCCCGCGACCGGCGCAAGCAACAGCTTGCACAGCCCAGCGCCGAGTAACACAGCTCCCCGACATTAGTGGTGTGAGTCAGCTTGGAAACAATCCTGATGGTTTCAGACAGGACCACGCAGGAGACACGGACAAGAGCTCTCCAGCAAGGAGAGCCTGCACAGGCGGAAAGAGTAAGGTTTGGGGTGTGAGCAAGAGAGGTGACAGCCGGATTCTAAAGGAGATGGAGGAAAGACTTTTGCACTTATAAATGCAGGAGGATTCTCCGCCCCCCGAAGATACCCAGCTCCTTTGCCTGCGACAGCTGTGACCTCATTGCAGTGTTCTCGGCATGCTGGCTTCTCAGCATTATAGCTACACTTCGCCGCCCCTGTCCACATCACTCTCAAGGGCATAACTTCTTTCTTGGGCACACTCACTAGAGCTACACACAGCCCCCAGTCTTCCCTAGACCCTCATGGTGCGAGCGAGTAGCTGTGAGAGAGTCGCTACTGAAGGCGAAAGGTGAATCTCAGCCAAGAGCCAAGTGATGAGCCGGATTTAGACTCCGCGTCAGCGCCGGAAGGGCCCTGGCCATTACTTCCAGAGCCTCTGTTACTGGCCCAAGATCACCCGCTGGGAAGCAGCCGAGTCAGGGCTAGAATACAGAATCTAGGGCCAGGTCTGCAGCAGGAAAGGACGACTGCCATTTTCAGCGTGGGCCACTTGCCACCACTATCACCTTCCTCATCCCCGCCAAGGGCTGGTTTTCCTTTTGGAAGCTCTCCCTTCGGAAGCATTGAAAGCCTGTTCCTGATGACCACTGTCATCCTGCAACCGCTCACACTTTGCCAAGCACTTGAAGCCACACCGTGGCCATGTCCTTCTTCCTCATCAGACCTTGGCACAATAAGAACCGTGGCAGTGTTGTCATTAGCCCCATTTCCCAGCTGAGCTAAGGCAGACTCCAGAAGGCTAGGAGCTCACCTCTTGAGCAGAGACGCCCTCCAGTTCACGTTCAACTTCAGATCCCACCTGAGCTCTTTGGTAGAACCAGGGATGTTCTTTCTCTTCTGGTGGGTGACTGGTGGTTAGAACTTGGACGAGAACTTCCTGGCTGGGAGCTGGATCTTTGCTTAGGAACAGTTTAGCCCCCATTAACAAACAATAATGGTTCCTGACATTTATGTAACATCTGACATTTATATAGTACCTCTCATCCCCATTTCTCACAGCCGTGACTGTGCAGTCTGCCAGAGGATCATGACCAGACTAGCTAGGAATTATAATGCTTTGCCTGTATTGTCACACTTCTGAGCTGGTTTTGACATACTAAGTGCAAGAGCTTTCTATTTCCTTTCTGGTTTGAAGTGTTTAAGTGGCCCTCTCCTCTTCCGGGTTCCCCGAAACCACAGGGGGCTGACAGCTGCCTTTTCTTTGCAGCCTTCCTAAAAACTCCTCAGTGAATTTTCCCCCTTGTTCTTCTCTTTACGGAGCACCAAAGGACCTGGAAGGAAGACTCCAGTCCTAACCTGAATCTGAACCAATAAAACGCCGACTGTGACAGCTCAATTATCTGGGCTTGCGGAAGGAAGCAACAGCCCACTCAGCAAGGACTTCTGGGCCCACATTCCATCCCACTTACCAGTACAGCCTGCTCACCTACAGCAGGGACCAACCTCCCCCGTCCTCAGATCCCACAGGAATAGAGTTAACATCCCGGAGTTCAAGCTGAGAGCTGGTGTTTCTCCTGGAAGAATGAAGTGAAGAATTAAAATAAACAAAGACGGGATGATCACCCAAAGCTTCGCAAACCTGCAAGGAGTTAACCGATTTGGTTCACAGTCTTCATGAACAGAAGCGTGAACAAATGGGTTTTCGTGAAAGCACTATCCAGGTTTCTTAATGTGACAGTGGTAATATTTACAGTAGCTCAAGAATTATATCGCTTGCATTAACAAATGTGTCTGGCCTCGGGCGAGTACTCTGAAAGCCCCACGTTTTTCTATAAATGAAAGTAATGGGGCTAAGGCTGTCAGCAGGCATTTCACTGATGCTAGTAAACTTAGCCAGTAACTGGAAAAGAGAGTTTCCCTGATCATTCCCCAGCCCACACTGCCTTCCATGTGTGCCACGGGCACATGGGTCACAAGCAGCCTCTTATGGATCAGACCTCACCAACAGCCTCATGGCTGTGGCTTGCATTTCTGCCTGCCTTATGCCACTCCACCCAGTCTCTTGCAGGATTTCTCAGAACTGAAGTACCATGGAGGTAACACTGCAGGGGTTGGGGGGCTCTAGGAGTAACTCAGCAGTGGTTGCACAGCCTGTGGCATTTGCCGACTAAGGTGCCAGCACCCAACCAAGAATGCCATCTCCTCCGGGTCTCCAGTGGGACATGTGGAAACAGGCATCTTGGCACCAAGATCAAGCCAAACTGGCTGGGATAGCACCCAGCTAAGGACACCCCCCACATAAACCAGCCTGGTGCCAAGGTTGGATCTGTGGAGAGAGGAGAGTTATCTACACTGACAAATGACCATATGGACAGACCAGAGTTTGTCCCTTAGTTGCTGGGCCACGAAGGGAAGAATCTTAGGATCTGAGTAATGGATTTGCCTACACCAAGGTCTAAAGAAAGTCCATGTTTAACATATTGACAGTTTTGCTGATACACACTGAATATTAGGCACAAACAATCCCAAGGGATTAATCTGGGGAGAAACTGAACGCTAATACAAGCGAGTGTGCGTGTGCATGTGTGCATGCACATGTGTGCGGGCACATGCGCACGCATGTGTAGGCCCAAGGTCAATATCAAGTTCTTCCTCAGTCTCTGTTCACTTTAGTCTTTAAGGCAAGGTTTTTCACTTGACCCCACTGATTCAGCTAGACTGGCTGATCAGCGCACCCCAAGGACCCTCTTGTCTATGCACCCGAGTGTTAGCATTACAGGTGCAAGCTGCGTGCCTATATGTGTGTGTGTGTGTGTGTGTGTGTGTGTGTATTTTAACCCAAGTGTTCTACGCTCAGGTTCTCATGCTTACATAGTACTTTACAAAACAAGCCATCCTCCTCCCCCGCCCCAGTCCCTCGAAAGAAATTCTTTGGCCCTGTATTTTGGGTTCAGTTATCTGTCCAACTTAAAATGAATGTTGGGAAACCTGCCTGGTGCTGAGATTTCATAAGATCAGGGCTGGCAAGATAGCTCAGTGGTTAAGAGCACTGGCTGTTTGGGAGGATGCATTCGATTCCCAGCCCCATGTGGTAGCTTACAACTCTCTGTAACTCCAGGTCCAGATTCAGTGCTCTCTTTGGGTCTCCATGGATACCAGGCACACATGTGGTGCGCAGACATACACACAGGCAAAGCACTCATACCCAAATTATAAAAACTTTGAAATAAAAAGGCTCTCCTTCCCTGTATCTAGGTCCTCACAGAAGTCCTCAGACTTTGGGAACTAAGCAGTAAGCACTTAGAAAGCATGCCAAAGGTAGCTTCTTGGTTCGGATCTCACAAAGCTTTCAGCTCAAGGGGCCCAGGAGTCTACATCATGGCTTTCACACCAGTACCTTTGGGACTTTCACATTGAGTGACACTACTTTAGAGTGTTCTTACATGACAAGTGACAGGGAGGAAGCTGACGAGGGACCAGGAAAAGGGCATGCTTGCATCATGACTTTCCTTTCCAATGCAGTCTTTCTTTTTGGGGTTTCACTTATTGCTGTTCTTTGTTTATTATTATTATTATTATTATTATTATTATTACACTGAAAGTTTGACCCAGAGCCCCTATGCTCCACACCAATATACAGGCATCTTCCTATGAAGACGGCAGCTCACCTCATCGCACTGCATACACATCTCAAGGTGTGCTTCAAGGCATCATCGAGACTAATTGGTGCTGCCGCTGCTGGAGACTTGGTGTTGCGTGGGCCTTTCTTAGCTATGCTAGCAACAGTGCTATAAAAGTCACTGCTGGCATCAACTCCAAATACTCCCCAGCTATGGCTCCGCTTGGGAAGTCTATCCCATCTAAAATGGATCATCACAGGGTATCTTTATTATCTCTCTGGAAAGAACAAAGATTCCCAACTGACAAACCAAAAAATGTCAATGAAGACAATGCTATAGTCTGAGTCTGAAAATAGCCCACCAAAGGCTCAAGGGTTTGTCAAAGGTGACAGGCTTTAGTGTGACTGGATCAAGAGGTTCTGACTTCATCAGTGGCTTCAACAGCACATGGAATAATAATTTTTAACACAATGTTTTTACTAACTTCTTGAGAACCGCATATACGCATACAATGTATTTTGATCATATTCCTAGCTTTTCCTAACTCTTCCCAGATATCCTCTGCACCCCATACCCCAAAGCGTTGTGGATTTATGACCGTTTTTATAACCTAATGAGTCCAATTTTCACCACTCATATAGTCATGGGTGTGGGCCATTCACTGGAGCTTGACCTATGAGAGGACACACTGTTAAAGGAAAATGACTCCCCACCTCCCAACAGCCTTCAGATGTCAATAGGTCTTCAGCCGAGGGTGGGTCTCAGGATCCCCTCTCTCCTCTGTGCTGCAGTGTTGACTGATTTGGTCTCAGCTAGGCAGCCGCAGCAGCTGTCATGTCCAGAAGATGCCGTTTCGGTCTGGTCAACCCTGACCTCAGGCTCATATCGTCCTCCTTTCCCCTTTTCTTTGAATGGTCTCTGAACCTTGAGACAGAGGGTGTGATAAGGATGTCTCACTTCTTTCTGAGCACTCCGTGCTCACTTACTGTCTGTACTTCACCAGTGGTGA